TGGTTTTTCTACTGTACAGACCGTATATTCTATTGCCCTACACCAACCCTACCCCTCACAGGAAACTTTCTGCATTTTTAGAATTTCCAAAAATGTAATTCTGTATGATGTATAAGCTTTTGTACCCGTGGGATTTATTCAGCTTTCAGAAGATGAATAAATCCACATTTTTAGTCTGTGTGTATTCAGGTTTAAGTCCCCACAAGGATATATAAACCAGTACACACACACACACACACACACTCACACACACACACACTCTCTCACACACACACACACACACACACATACACACACACACAAATATATGCATGTACTTATTAATAGAATGCAGAGATTCAGGCACTATTTATAAGTTGTTTTTTTATATATGGGGGGGGGGGGTCTCAGAAATCCCAAGCCTCATAAGACAGAAACACATTTATTGTAATTCATTGAGACTGATGAAAATGTCTTTTCCAAGCCTCTTTTAGCAGTATAAAATCTTTCTTTTGAGAAATTCCTGTAATTCTTTAACAACTGAATTTAAAATGTTTTCTCTTCCCCTTGTCACATTACTTGATAAGGTCAGAGGAACATTACACAATTTTAGAGGGAAAACTATTATTACATAAATAAATATAAATTATTATTATTTTTATTACATTTTCCTTTATTATTCATTCGTTCGTTCGTTCATTCATTTTTCACAAACAGCACAGGGGAACCCAACCTGAGACCCAAACATTATAAAAGTCAATCTTAAAACAACAGTTCAATTCAAGTAGTCTCCATACAACATGTTATCCCACATTTCTTACACTTCTGAAGACGCCCTGTTGTGGACAGCTCGAAAGGTTAGTCTTTATAACGTTATCTGAGCTCGCTATGCATAAAATCGTAACAGAACTACAAGACCTTCCTCAAACATGAATGAAGAATACGTTTCTTACCGAAAGTCATACTGGATGCGGTGCGCCGTTAAAATTCATCCGTGTGGAAATCGAAGCAAAGCGGAACCTTTATTTACCAGGCTCTTGACTTGGACCATTTTCTTGCCTTATCAAAGAGCTTTGCATTTTGTAAGCCACAACAAAATCTTTAGATTTTATTTTAGCATTTAACTTAGGTGCGATTATAAATAAGGGAAAATACATTAACCAAAACATTATCTTTGTTTTCAAAACAGACAAGAAGTAGGCTATAGAATATCTTGTTTTAGTGATATGGATGTCATCTGTTAGAAATGTTGGCCTTAGCTGTTATGTAACATTTAGATATATTAGAAATTATAACAATACAATGTAATAACAAAAATGCAGTCTATTTTTTTTTTTTTTTTGCAGAAAAAGTCAACCACTTGATACACATACATACAACTAGTATGAAAATAGGATGAGGCAGACAGACAGATGGACAGAAGTTGGTGAGTATTGACATCTAAGCGTGTATTTTGCCATCACACTGTTCTCACCCAAGCTTCATCATGCCAACTGGTTTTGGCATCAGCTCACAGCACGGGCACACTTAGCCACCAGCTGGCAGTCGCGGGCCTCAAATAAGAATTGTTCAGACATGGCACTCATTCAAAAAGTTCTCACTTCCCTAAACCCCTCCGTGGTAAATAGGGATGGCATGTTCCTGCAAACTGAAAGCTTTGTCTGAGAATCTCCCCTCCAGTTTGAGAAGTAGTATCGTCAACGAAGGAGCCATTCACCACCACAGAAAGAGCTGGAAGCGAGAACACTCTCCTTAAGGCTTTAAATGACTTAATTGATTATTGGCACTTTGTATTGCATGTGATGTAGAGGTTTTGATGGACATCCTTCTTCTTTCATGAGGAATTCAATGATTTTCTTTTTAACGGAACCAGGCTTGGATCCTAGCATGCTCTTGGTATGAATTTTGAAATTCCAGCTGCTCTTCAAACATATTCGCTCATCAACAATCTGATTGATTTGGAAAGAAGACCGAAGGGTGACCGGCGAGCAGAAGGCAACTCGGTGAGCATATATTTGACGCATAGCTACAATGGCTGTCCGCCAGCCCGGTATCTTCTCAGTCACTATGTTAGCAGGTAACATGTCCGGCAGTGGGCGCCAGCTCCCCATTTGGTTGGCCCAGGATTCGCTGAAAACTGTGGGAGAAGAGAGATGCCCCCTCTTTTTTTTAAAGATTTGGAGAGTGAGTAGGGAACAGAAATCAAGGGGTGTTCCAAAAACATGTGTCAGGTTGGCACCAGATGAGAATGCCTTGGCAAGCGCCTCACTCTCCCCCTCTTGCCCTTCTTAGAACACATGGCACGTTGACGGCAGCATCTGGCTGCGTTGACTCTCAGCAGCTGCGCTTTGTCTATGCCAGTTGGGATGCTTGGCACTGCCACTTCATCAACTACCTGTGGCTTCTCCTGGGCGCGGAGCGGGCGATGAATTATTTGGTGCTGCAGCTGCAAACTTGATTTCTTTCCAAGAGATACAGTTGTGTAAACACATGCTAGACTCATGACACACAAACAAATGCTTTGCATACTTGGACAATTTGTATACAGGAGGACAAGTCTGCATCTGGGCTTACTTTATTCAATGCTGGGCATCTGGTCTCGGGTGGAAGTTCACAACATTATCACATGGAAACCTTTGTACTCTATTATACAAGAAACTTCAGGAAACTGGTTTTGGCAATTATTTGTCAACATGCCATGAAAGAGTGAGAAGAAACCTTTTTTTTGTATTACTTAAAAAGCTCCAAGGAATTTGTGGACAATAATATATGAAAGAAAGACCCTTTACTGGATTATTCCATATGAGTTCCCCAAGGTTCTCTGCTGGGCCCTCTTATGTTCCATGTTTATTCTGTAACATTTGTTGTTTTGAGTATGAAATTAGCTTCCCTAATGCTGCTCTCCATCTGTGCCAAAATGTGTGGTTTACACTGGACTGATACTTAAAACATGTACCATGAGGTCTTCCCATGTCTGATTTGCTAGGATTTTCCCCATGACTGTGGTTTAGCACATACCAGCGCTTTAAAGCAGCTACAAGCTTTCCTCATTTGGAAAGCATCATTTGGTATCTCCAGGGGTAACTGTCATGTTCTTTAAATTTTGCAAAAGTTGCAAAACCTCCAGAGGATCTAAGACATCACAGCCTTTTAATAAAACAACAAACTCTGCTCTATTTAAGAGGGACAGGGAGGGTGTACTTACATCAGAGTGGAGCAGCACTTTCGACAAAAAAAACAAAACATGGCAGGCTTTGTTTTTAAGTGAAGTAGACATCCGTTATGTTCTAAGCCCTGACATCTACAGAGCCACGCGACCTAGATTGGATTAAATTTTCTTTACAGGTTTTGTTTTTAGGTATTTTTCAATGGAGACAGATTATATCTGTCAAGATTCAAAGACAGCAGTTCTCTTTTTTGTTCAGCTTCTGGTGACCCACTGGGAGTTTGGCTCCATCTGTGCCAGCCTGACCCAGTTTAGCCCACGGCCACGTCCAACTGTTCCATGTCCCGAGCATATGTGCAGTTGCAGGGGGATAAGCGATCCTCACCACGCGGGACAGGGAAAAGCATGCTGCAGACATGACACGGGACCTGACTCTAGTCCACCCTCATCCCAGAGCATATGTCAGGAACAGGGCTGGCCTTCAGGATTCATACACTGGAATTATTCTGCTTTGAAAACAGTGAAACTGTGCTGGCATGGTTTGACATTTTGGTTCTTGGGGTGTATGATCATTGATGGTAATTGTGTTATTTGTGGATTACAAGTGAATGTTAATTTGAAAGTTAGAGAGGGATAGAGTAACACTAACTATACATAACACAATATATCAACAGCAATATACATTTTTTAATGGCATTTTATGGGCTAGTCCCTCAATAAAATCTCATTAGTCTAAAATCTTGCACCTTAAAACTGTACGGTGAACATTAAATATATTCTGATTGGCTGAGTCACATTGCGTACCAGTTTTGCGTTTGGTGTGGAAAGATAAATTAATTGCTCCAGAAGCATGTCTCACTGTGTCTGGTTAGGGCACTGTGTGAGAATAAAAGAGAAACAATGTGCATTATATATCAATCTCGTTTACTTTTATTTTGTCAGGAGTGTGATTTAAAGCTAAAATTAAGTCCAAACCTAGACCAAAAAAAAGGCCCTGTGATCTGACTTGTGTATTATATAGAATTATAATATATATTGTTTTCATCAATCACAAACCTGAAGTTATACATGAAAACTGACTTCACCCTGACACAAAACAGTTGGTCGGTTCCTGACGGGCTCGGGCCGTGTAGCAGACCTCTTACATTATCTGCATTAGCCAGCCCATATGGAGAGGAAGGAGCAGGGCTTCCCCAATAACCATGGCAATGGAAGTGGAAGCTGGCACTGTTGGCAGCCAAGCAGATGTGTGGACAGTATCGGTGCCCAAAGCTTGTGCCCACTGGGAGCAGAATGTGAGATGCACATATGGGGCCCCATGCTGGTGTTCAGCTGATGCAGCAAGATAGAATTACAGAAACAGTTCTCAATCAGACTGAGGCTCAAACTGTCACTTGATTTCAATACAGATTGAAAAAATAAATTTCAGAACTTTGAAACACATTTACTAACCAAAATATGAGTGGTGCCTGCCTGTGCAAAACTGCTGAGTGGTTCTTACTATGCAGTTGCAATTCATTTCTTTGCCCACCTCTAAAATATTGTGTTCCAAGCCCCAAGTCTTTCCTTAAGTTTATAGCTGTTTTCACAATTTGTCCCATTACAAGTTTGATTCCAACCTCCTTGCTCTGTTCCCTTGGTTTCTTTGCTCAGAGGACCTATGGGTCTGAGTTCTGGTATATTTACATCATCCATATTAATACCACTGTATGTTCTAGTAGCAGCTGTTTACCACTGTAACTAGTTAACGCCTCATGAGTCAGTATCACTGTTTTATTCATGTTTTTGTCACTTTGACTTGTGTTTGTCTGCCACAGATTTATTTCAAGAAATGCAAAGGCAATTTGTTTTGGAGACTTGCAACTATTACAATAATACTATTACTATAGTATGACCAGGAGCATGCAATGATGCAAATTATTTGTCATCAACAGTGGTTCACTTCTGTGATTTAGAACAGATTATGTTCATATTAACTGTAATAAGTAACAGAGTTCACATAAACTGTACCAGACCAGCTGGACTTAGGTGGACTTGATACTGGAGCACACCTGAAAAGCTTTACAGGTCAACACCAAAAGTTCTAGTTTGAAAGTCTCTGGTGGTCCAATTGCTTAGAAACATTATATCATATTTCTTTTCAATAAACCACATAATTTGAGGAGTAATGTCTGTATGATAAATGGTGTGAGACAAATTATGTTTTGTGTTGAAGTTTAAGGATCTGACCTAAGTATAAAGAACCTCATACTGAGCCACTAATCATAATCATCACAAATGTCTGTTTTGCTGAGGACCGATACTTGAAATACAGATTAAGCTGTTTGCTCTGCCTTGCAGTGGTATTTCACAGTCAGTCTCTGCTGGCCATTACCGTCCTCATGGCACTCTAGTTTACTGATAGTCTCCCTCTAATGAGTTATTGATCCACTCTGTTTTCTCTTTGCTTTCTTTCAAGGCAACGGAAATCACTGCACAGGAGAGACAATCAGGGCTTTCCCAATCTAACTTCCAGGCAGCATGTCCTCTTTAGACCTGCACTAGTTCTGCAGGTCACCACAAAAAAAGCTGCCGGAGGTTTGTTTGGAAATGTTGTAAGGACAGTGTTTTGGGGCTGTTTTTGCACATCATGTAGTAATCGGATGTTCATACTTCATTTGCATTTGGAGAGAGATGGCAGAACACAGGCGAATCTGATCCTGGCACCACATGCCAAGCTTGTGCATGAAAATCAATGCACAGTCACTAGACTGTAGATTCGGCTAACATTTTTTCATGGCTACCATGTGTCATTGATCAGTCAGAGGTGATTTTAATCACAACCAATCAAATAGCATGTGGTTAAAGAA